TAATATAATATAATATAATATAATATAATACTGTATAATATAATTTATTGAATTGTGCATTTATGTTTTTAGTTTTGAGACACCATCTTGAGCCATTCACAAAGCATCTGATCAGTGTTACACTGCTGCAGGCAGACAAATTCCTGCAGGACCACAGCCAGTTCTTTGAAGCAGCTGAAGCCCACCACAGAGGCTTATCCAGTGCTGAACAGGAACAGGAAGTCATCTACAGCCTGGATGATTTCTGGAGCTGCAGTGGTGCTGTGGCTCTGTACCAGCTGCTATTCATGGAGAACAATCTGCAGGACACCTTCAGAGACTGTGACTCTGCTGAAGGTTCTCATCACATCTCCTCTGACCACAGCTGAATCTGAGAGGAGCTGAACACTGAAGACAGTCCAGACTTTCCTCAGGTACAACATCACATCTCACTGCACTGACCATGCTCTATAAGAATCTGGTTCAAACATCCCTGAATTTAACCAGAGTCATGAAGAAATTCTCTCAAGTACAGAAGGGCAAAATTTATATATATACACACACACTATTTGACACTGCAATGTGATTTTTTATTGATTTTATTGTTTTTATTTGTTTCATAAATACACTGGCATGATACAACTTAGTACATGTTTGATTGCTATTTGAGATACAGTATGTCTATCTTGGAGTTGTATTCCCCCGAGAAAGGTCAGCCAGCTGCCACTGGCTCAATCGCCACAAAATGGTAATGGGACTCCATGACAATGGTCTGTGTGATGCTTGTGGCATTGAATTAGAGACCTCTTTGCACTCCTTAGGCCACTGCCTGGCTCTGAGTAGTCAAAGGAAAATAATTATTGGGGACCACCTTATGGATCCTGAGAAGCTCAGAACACTGAGTGTTTCTAACCTTGTATCCTTCATTCGAGGGAAGCAAAGGTTTGAATAAAGACCAGTGTCACATGTCCATCTTGATGGGATATTTTGTGTAAACATGAGAACTGAAATGACAGAGAAAAACTGTTGGTCAATGAAAAAGTACGTAAATCAGAAAAAAATTATTTTGATTTATAATTTGCCTTTTATACACTTTTGATGTATAAATTAAACAATATACAGTAATCTGTGATTTTATTGTCTGTGTAACGGTTTGTGTAACATTACATATTGCATCAAAGAACAAATAATGCAGTGCAACTCCTCATTTAAATAAAGATGGAAGTTTTGTCACTTTTGCTTCATTGCAGAATATTAGGCACAAACTGGACTGTGTTTTAACTGGCTTCTCATGCTCCAAATGTTAAATTGACAAGATAGAATAAATTGACGACGAGGAGGTGACAAAAATTCTAAATAAATTAGCAGCTGAAGCTCTGATAAGAAAAAAACAACCCAAGAAATATGAGACTTAACAGCTTTTTGCTCTTTTCAAGAACCTTGTAAGCATTTTATTTAATCCTAGGCATATTGGATGGCAGAAACAAAAGATTATGACTGCATATTTGTTTTATTTGACAGAAAACCAACAAAATAAAACCAACAAGATTAAAGATAACGTTTTGAGACAGTGTGATTGTAATATACTGATTAGCAGAAGCATACACACACACATGTTTGCTTATGTGTTGATAATACCAACATATTACTACAAAAACTATTTAAAAGACAGACGTCACTCAATGCAGCACATCAAGAAAAATGCAGTTTAAAGCAATTTTGTTCTGAGCAGAGGATTACCTGTGATATATTAATTTAAATATTATTTTGAATGCAACAAAACTGCAAAATCAACAAGGCCCTGTCTTACTACAAAACTTATGAACATTTTAAAGATGTCTATGTTGAAGCTGGAATTGAAAAAAAAAAATCAGGAAGTTTTGTTTCGGTGTGTACATCCTGTAATTCTAAAAAAAATTATGCAACTTTTATTAGCAATTTAGACAGAAATTGTTTCATAAGTTGGCATAAATTGTCTAGTGTGACAGGCCCTATCAGGTACGAGGTTTTAGTCAAAGTTTTGAGCAATGCAATGACAAACAGACCAAGAGACAGAATAAAAAAGTGCTTTTATTTACAGGTGATGGGGTTTTGGGGTTCAGTCCTGGAAGGGAAGAGGGTCTTGGTGAGTAATGGAGCAGATAAATAAATGAAGAGGATTTTGCAGGGGAATAAGTTTTGTTCTTACAGGAGGGAGGTGAAGGCTCAGCACTGAGGAGTAGGTCCAAGGTTTCCAGGTGAGAGGAGGTTCTCTGAGGTAAGTGGTGTTGTTTCCAGTTAGAGGCAGACAGGCAGTGCAGCACGAGGACAGGTGAGTGGCTCTCTTTCAGGGGCTTCATGATTACAAGTGGAAGATCGTCCAGGTAGATATCAAAATGCATCTGAACACAAAGAACAGGATTATAAAAACTCTAAGAAAAAAAACTCTTAAGAGGGGCTGAGAATCATACCAAAGGTAAACGATGCATCAGCGAAGAACTGATCTTCAGGTCCTCCTTATGAAGCCAACAGTGATGAGCCAGATTAGTAACAGCTGCAGCCACTTGGATGTGCTAGCCAATCAGGAACCAAACAGGTGAGAACATGAAAAACACTGAATGCCTCGGTACCCCTCCTCAAACATCGCCTCCAGGCGATTTGGGGCGCTTCTCTGGGTGGTCCTTGTAGAAGTTAGAGATGAGGGAGGCATCCAGGATAAAGGATCTGGGGATCCATGAGCGTTCCTCTGGTCCGTAACCTTCCCAGTCCAACAAATATTGAAAACCACGCCCACGGCGCCGAACATCCAGAATGCGCCTCACAGTGTACGCAGGGTGGTTATCGATGAGCCGGGTGGGTGGAGAGGCGATGGTAGGAGGGCACAGAGGACTTTCAGAAACAGGTTTAATTTGTGAAACATGAAAAGTAGGATGGATTTTCATAGCAGAGGGTAAAATGAGTCGAATGGCAGAAGGATTGTGTCAGGTTTAGACACCAAACATTTGTAGAACTGAACTGTAAGGAAAGACACAGACAGAGTCAATAAAGTTTTACTTGCAAGGAGAGTGTCCAGAGACTGCTTCAGTCACAATCTCTCACCACACTCTGAAACAGTTCCGGCTCTCACAGGCTTTTTATTCAGTTTTAGGAATGCCCTAGTTACAAAGTGCTTCAACCGCTCAAGGGTGGGATAAAAACTGGTTGAAACAGGTTTGACATATTTTCAGTGAATCATCACATTCAAAATCATCACATTCTTTTCCCAAGAGATAAAAAACAACTCATGGTCGTGCTGCAGATTCCACAGTTGCAGCGCTTGGAAAACAACTTCTCCTTCTCACGCCTTGGTTTCGGTCTAACTGCAAACATTTCTTTCTTTGTTTCGTAATCTTCTTTCTTTCTTTCTTTCTTTCTTTCTTTCTTTCTTTCTTTCTTTCTTTCTTTCTTTCTTTCTTTCTTTCTTTCTTTCTTTCTNCTCGTGTGGTCGCGCGCGCCATAACCGACTCCTCTGCGTCGAAGGTAAGTGAAACCACACCACTGAAAGTAGTTTCTTTCGTGCCAATGATGTAGTAATTGGCTTATTTTAT